ATTTTATTATTTTGTTGTTTCCCTTCAACGTGACTTTACAGAAAAAACTAAGAATATAAAAATTATCTTGTCCATAAGACGGGCTGGCACCAGTTTGTAGCATAATGGCCGTTTATCTATGAAAACCTCACTGAGCCTTTAAGCCATAATAGAGCTGTTTTGGGTTATATCGCGTATATATATATGTCGTTAAACCCACCACCTGACACAGCCAATTAGTAAGATTTGTAACATAAACAAAATGTCAATTCGTTACTGGTACAGCACACCGTTGTGTTGGAGAGAAAACCTACAACATTTACAATTCGAATACGACGTTTCGCCAGTAATTGCAACTAGCATCATCAGGTGGCAGCCAAATTATTGGAGTAATCCTCCTGTCTCGGTCTTGAACAAAAATCTACTAATTCGCTATCGGATGGCGGCGGGTTTAACGGCACATGTATGTCTACGCGATCTAATCTATCATGGATAATAATGGTCGCACAAGCCTATGCGTTAAACCGAGCCTGTAAGACTCCCATTCAGGAGGTTTCTGCATTAAAATGTGTCTACATGAGTGTATATGTCGAAACCGATCTAGAGTTTGCTCGTGTTGAAACAGTGCTGTTTCATTTATACAGCATTGGTTTATTTAATTTTTATTTGGACGGACAGATATATGAAGATATAGTTTCTGATAATTAATTTTGTTATAAGCCATTTGACCCATGGCACACCACGAGACGGTGAGTGGAGTCGAGCATATCAAGTATGGAAAGAGAAAATGGGAAAGGGATGAGAGAAAATGGGAATGAAGAGGAAAAGGATGGAAAAGGAATGAAAAAAATCTGGACCAAAGGGTCAGCAAAGATGACAACGGGTGAAGAGGCACCCAGCGAGGCCACGGCTCAAGATGAGTAGTAGGAATAAGGAAAGGGAAGCGAGGGAGAAGGAATGAATGGGCGAAGATGAGGGTAGGGGAACGAAGATCGGCAGAGACAAATATGGAGCAAGGAGAAAGTTGAGCCGCATGGAAGCCGCCGTCTGTTTTCACGGCGGATGAAGAGACAGGGCAGGGGATTCAGAGTGGGTCGGCCACTCAGAAGTCACGGGACGCTTGAGCGGATTCGGGTTAATATACAGGTTTTTTTTACCTCTCCACAATGACGCGAATGAATATAGTTTGTGTCCAAAGGAGCAGATCGGATGAAAGCAATCGCAGCCTGTGTGACCTTGCCTGCTGGTGACTCTCGCACGCAAATCCGTGCAACTTGGTGGGTGGGAATGTGTTTGGCTGTTAGGAAAATGTGAGTCCAGGTGGTGGCCCCCTAATTGGTTGTATTGTGCACCTGTCTGTGAACAAGGTTATAGGAATGGCCCAAGTGAATCGATGGTTCGGCTTGGCAATTTTTAGTTTCAAATTTGTACAAAAATGAAAGGCGAGCTCGTACGCACGCTGTCGGCAGTCTAACATTGGGTATGTAATCATTTAAGTCACGCATTTCGGGTGTCTCCGTTGAGAGTAACTCGAACACGTTTGTCAAAGTCAGTGTGGCCTTTAAAAAATTTATACACAGGATGCTTCACAAAAATGTTAACAACTGTGATAATTTGCAACAAGACCACAAGAAATGTACTGCCTCCAGGCTCTGGAGACCACCTGCAGAAGATTCCAAGCAAGCGTTGACAATGATGGCGAGCAAGTGGAGACTCTGACTTTTTGAAGCTATTAATATACATTTGTTATGTTACAATGTATTATCTTTTGATTTAAAGCTTTCGTGACTGCAGTAATTCATATTCTTAGTTTTTTCGGTAAAGTCACGTTGAAGAGAAACAACAAAATAACAAAATATATATATAAAAACAATAAAAAATTCTCACGACGTTTCGACCATAACTCAAACGGTCATCATCAGGTGTGTCGGTTTGCATAAATTTATTTTTAAAACGGCACATTTATTTCTAATGCGAAACGAATTCTTTTCAAAACTAGCTTAGCTCTTATCTCAGAAAAAATCAGACTTATACGCACAGAACTAGATCAGTTAGACAAGACACTCTACAAATCACACTTATCATTGACGGCAATAATGTCCACATCGGATTGGGAACATGTAGACAATATGACTGCCTCTTCAGCTGCTACTATGTCGACCAAATGTAAGGAAAACCTGATTTCCAAATTTAACCTCCTCTTCAACAAAAGACCGGACCCACACACCAAAAAGTTAGACGTTAATAAAGTCGTAATTAATCGCAGTAACAGTTCTATTTCCGATGGTCTGAAATCCGTTTTAGCTAAAGGTCTAAACTTTGCAGTCACACCTAAACACATACCAGTTAATGATATAATTGCCCAAGTAGACGTTGCTCTCAGGGGCCTGGGTCACATCGCTGCAGACGTAGCAAGATCTGAAATCGCTGCAACCCTCAAAAACGCTAAGATGCCAGCTAGCAACCTCAGCAAAGATGAGCGTTTTGAATTATATAAATTAAAAAAGAGGAATGATATTGTAGTTCTCTCAGCTGACAAAGGCAATGCTACTGTCATCATGGATAAAATAGAATACAACAACAAAATTAAAGAATTACTCGACGATGGTAGTTATACAAAAATAAAAAGAGATTCCACCAACAGCCTCGTCACACAAACCAACAAAATAATTTCTGATTCAACCGCATTAATTGATCAATCTAAACAGTTTTCGTTGAAACCTTCTGCTGCCAGGCCACCAAGATTATACGGCTTACCAAAAATACATAAAGTTGATACACCTCTTCGTCCCATAGTCTCTACTATCAGCTCCCCCACCTACAAACTAGCTCGTTTTTTGTCTGAAATCCTGCGTCCTTTCACTGGAAAGACTACCTCTGCGGTACAAAATTCTACTCGCCTGGTATCAACAATCAAGGGTATTTCCCTGTCCCCAGACGACCTGCTTGTCAGTTTTGATGTAGTTTCCTAATTCACCAAGGTTCCTGTACCTGACACCATTGCAATCATTGAAGACTTGGTTCATCAAGGACTAAACACTGAGGTACCCCCCCTGGTGAGACACTGTTTAACCAATACATACTTCACTTGGAATGGAACTTTCTACACACAAACTGAGGGCACCCCAATGGGCTCCCCCCTTTCTCCAGTTATAGCTAACATTTTCATGGATAAATTTGAGACTGACGCCATCCAGACTGCCACTCTGCGCCCAACCTTATGGAAGAGGTACGTGGATGACACTTTTGTCATCTGGCCACATGGCCGGCCTGCTCTAGACCAATTCTTCGACCACATCAGTTCCATACACCCAGCCATCAGATTTACCATGGAAGTCGAAATAGATGGCAAGATACCTTTTTTGGATGTCCTAATTAAAAAGAGACCTGATGGTTCAATGAGCCACTCTGTCTACAGGAAAGCTACCCATACGGATGCTTATCTGAAACCGGATTCCCACCACCATCCATCACAGAAGAATTCTCTCATCAAGACTCTGTATCATAGAGCCCAATGCATATCCGACCAGGAACACATAAGCAGTGAACTCAAGCACGTACACCAAGCTCTTAGGGCTAATGGTTACTCCGACTATACAATCCGCAAAGCTATCACTCAAACCATGAAGAAGAACCCTCTTGAGGAGCCTTTCAAAACCATCACTTTACCCTACATTGCTGGGATCACAAAAAAGATCTCCAAAATCTTGAATAAACACAAGATCCAGGTCCGTTTCAACACATTACATAAAATCCGTGATCTGGTTCCGTCTGTAAAAGATGTGATTCCGGACATACAATACCCTGGTGTCTACAAACTAAGTTGCCTCTGTGGTAGTAGTTACATTGGAGAAACCAAACGCCATGTCTCGGACCGCATTCGTGAACATAAAGCAGACCTTAAACACGGTAGGACCAACACCTCGGCCGTAGCAGATCATTGTTCTAATTCAGTAGGCTCACATGCCATTGACTTTTCCAATACGGAGGTTCTTTGTAAGCCATCTGGCTTCCTTGAGAGATTCGTTCATGAGGCTATCCACATATACAAGCACAGAGACAATTTCAACCGAGAAGATGGATTCTATCTTAGCAATCATTCGAAAGATTTGATAAATCATTTCAGTTCTTGATTGATTGTGCACGCTTACAGTGGCTTTCAGACAGCATACATTATAAAAAATTTCGTCTCCCCCCTCCTCTTTTCAAAAAAAATAGATGGACTAGTCCTGGGCAAACTGCCAATCGCTGCGCGTGACGCCAACGTTTTTTATAAATAAATAAATAAATGTGACGTTTTAAAAATAAATTTATGCAAACCGACACACCTGATGATGACCGTTTGAGTTATGGTCGAAACGTCGTGAGAATTTTTTATTGTTTTTATATATATTTTGGTATTTTGTTGTTTCTCTTCAACGTGACTTTACCGAAAAAAACTAAGAAAATGTATTATCTGTTATGCTTCCATTAAAAACGACAGTCCCATGTAAGTGTCAACATTTTTTTGAATCACACTATATAACCGTTTGTGTTATGGTCGAAACGTCGTGAGAATTTTTATTGTTTTATATATATTTTATTGTTTCCCTTCAACGTGACTTTACCGAAAGAGCTGAGAATATGAACAAAAAAATAGTTTTGATTTAAAGCTTTCGTGACTGCAGTAATTCATATTCTTAGCTCTTTCGGTAAAGTCACGTTGAAGGGAAACAATAAAATATATATAAAACAATAAAAATTCTCACGACGTTTCGACCATAACACAAACGGGCACACCTGAAGACGACCGTTTGAGTTATGGTCGAAACGTCGTGAGAATTTTTTATTGTTTTATATACATTTTATTATTTTGTTGTTTCTCTTCAACGTGACTTTACCGAAAAAACTAAGGATATAAAAAATAGTTCCGCTAAATCGTGAACGCGTGACGTCACCACATCCGATTTAAACCGCGCGATGACGTAGTCGTTGACTGGCGCGATGACGTACACGTTGACGGGCGCGATGACGTCACCGACGCCGTCCAACGGTCCGTCGTGACGTCACTACGTTGGCCGCACCCCTAAGCGCGACGTGACGTCGGGTGTCCGCCGACAGTGGCCTCGTGACGTCGCGGCGAGGCGGGCTTGTTGTTGTTTGGGTCCCACGTGCTCGCGGAGGCGGAGTAGGAGGAGGGAGGCCGCCGCCGCCGACGTCGTCGCATCCCTCCGGGCCCCGTCTCTTTGTCTCGGCGCGCAGCCGCCGCCGCCACTGCCTCCGCCTCCGCTGAACACAGTCACGTTCTCAACGATCGCTCAGCAGCGGCAGCGAGCAACAGCAAGCAAGCAGCAACAACAACAGTCGCAGCAGCAACTATAACAGCGGCAAGCAGCAACAAGAGCAGCAGCAACAACAACAGCAGCAATAACAGCGGCAAGCAGCAACAACAACAACACGAGTAAGCAAGCGCAATGCCGTGCGACGACGAGGACGGCGGCAGCGGCAGCAGCGGCGGCGGCAGCAGCGGCGGCGGCGACAACGTGGACGAGCTGGCGACCCGCATGGCGGAGTCGCTGCGGCTGAAGATGCCGCGCAGGGCGGCCGCGGCTCAGCGAGCCCGCGCCGCCCCTTACCCGGCTCGCCGCGAGCCTCCTCCTCCTGCACCCTCCCTCGCCGGGGGTGTCGTCGGCTCGGCTGGGGCCTCCCTCGGGGGTCCTCCGGGGTCGGCGTCCCCCGGCCGCCCCGAGGAGGAGCCGACGCCCCCGCCGCTGTGCGAACCCCGCGATGTCCTCCACGAGTTGCTGATGAGCGGCAATTTGATCAAAGAGGCGGTGAACCGGCTCCGCGCCACGTGTCGCGCGTGAAGGATGCAGGCGAGAACGGAGCTGTCGAGGTGAAGGGGGGGGGATCGTGTTTCGTTCTTGCCCAATCATTCCTCCGTCGTCTTTGTTCATTCGCGCGCGCTAGGTCGTAACGCGCACTCGCTTGTTATAGGCATGATGATGGTCATTTGCGTGACATGTTGGGTTTTTCGTTTATTTATCCGTTCGTTGCTTTCTTCGTTCACTCATTCTTTGTTTTGTTCGTTCACCCGTTCTTGTGTCTGTTCATTGATTTACGGTCTTTCAGTTGACGATGTCACATTTGTATTAACTCATTCATTGCCTTGTTTATTTGCTCATTCATCGGTTAGCCTGGTAAGTTCAGTCGATTCGTTGTCTTTGTTCATTCGTTCACTCATTCCTTCGTTGCTTTGTGCACACACTCGTCAATTCCCAAATTTCCGTATGCTTTGCTTAATAGATGTCTTATTTCGTTAGACCAATGTGGTCGTTTGTTGATTTGTTAGTTCATTTTGCCATTCCGTTGGCCATTCACATGTTAATTTATTCGTTAATCCGCCCATGCAATCGTTCATTTAGTTTTGATTGGTCAGTTCCTTCGCATGTTCAATAGTTAATTAGGTTTTTTTTTAAAATTTAAATTATCCTCCCTGAAATCTGGTGCTTTCACCCAGCACGTGGATAAATCGTGGCCTAAAAATGTTGACGGTCGCGACGCGATTTGAGTCATCCAGGAATTCCTTGAATCCCCCTCCCAAGATGGGAAAGTCTCCTGGTGGCCTTCCTGTCACCTTTGGGGGTGCTGGTGGTGGGAGTCGCCGATCAGAAACATAATAAATGTTGCGTAATCTTCTTCGCGTCCTCACTCTCGCCCATGCATTTACTCAGCAGTGTCTTTCACAATCATCGCAATTAAGATGTGCCTACCCTCTCCTTGCCCCCCTTTAGCCCACCGCCTCATTACGAGGCCATCTCCCCCACTGCGTTAAGCATCGTAGGGGGGAAAGGGGGGGGGGGTATTTTGACCATACTTCACCGCACCGGTTAGCGCGTAGTGTTGAAGGCGCGGTGTACAGAGCAAGACCGTACCCATAGAGTCAACATTGGCGGGGACCAAATCTTCCGGGGGGGTCTGGGGGTATCCCCCCCAGAAAAAAATCTAAATTTGAAAACGAATTTCCTGCCTAAAATATTTTAAAAATTCACTAACACATAGGATGGACTTTCTATTTATTTTTTCACAATAACGTCTAATAGTGTATTGTATTACATTGCTCTGTTTTTCTTTTTTTTACCTTGTCTTGTTTCACTGTATGTAATGGCAGAGATTAGAGATTAATAAGTATAACCATAACCACAATCATGTAAACAGAAATATATGCATTGTTTCTAGATTTGAAGCTTTCGTGACTGCAAGGATTCATACTCCTTGGTTTATTCGGTAAAGTCACGTAGGTAAAATAAAATAAAACAACTAAATTATATCACCACGTTTCGAAGGCAACACAAGTCTTCAGGTGGAACAGACACTGTATCCACATTTGTGGGTACAGCGAATTTTGCTTTGCTGTGCACAAATGTGGATACAGCGAATTTTGCTGTCTGTTTCACCTGAAGACGGAAGCTTGTGTTGCCTCCGAAACGGCGTGATTTAATTTAGTTGTTTTCTATTTTATTTTACCTACGTGACTTTACCGAAAAAACCAAAGAGTATATGCATTGTTATATGAAGACAAGTCCAGATATTGTGGCCAAGGTTTAGCAAATTGTTGTTTTTATTTACATAGCATCGCAATTATTTTTTTTACAAATATTTTTTATAGCAATATATTGTGTGGGGGGGGACATTATGAGCATATTTGATTATTGGGGGTGATGTGCCCCCCCCAATATCTATTATAACTACGGCCTTGTAGCAGCTCCCTTTCGTGAACGCCACTCCACCAGCAGTTGGCGAGAGCAAGCGCTCGTGTAGGGCTTCACCTTTGCCTCTTGTGTCATCATCAGCAGCAGCAGCATGTCCACTTGCTCTAAAAATTACAACCCTTTTAATCGGATAAGAAGAAAGCGGGAATTGCCCCAATTTAGAGCAAAGGGGGCTCTGGGTAGATCGATACTTTTAAGAACCCATTGTTGTGTGTTTTGCCAACCCAATGCCGGCTGCACGCGTCTCCACGCCATGTGGGTTTTGGGGGAGTTGTTTGACCATACTTTATACCACACTGCTCGGTGCAGGCAGCAAACAGATGAGAAAAGAAAGTGGTTTTGGACAGGGACTCTTTGCACGGAAGGGATTACATTCTTTACATTTTAGTTTCATCCACGCGGGTTCAAGAGACAAATGACGGGGGGGAGTTGCCAGCCGGAGGAGTGAACGTGTCCGACAGGACATCCTCTGCGGAGATGGAGCAATGAAGCCGGCTCGTGTGTGTGTGTTTGCATCGGCGCTGGACCCATTTTTTTGCATCGCTCAGAGCTGCGAAAGATCACTGTTCAGCTCGCGGTTGGACTTCATCCAGCAGTGGATAGTTCGCGGCTGGTGAGAAAGAACAGAGATGAAAACGGAGGTCGCCTCAATAGCACATGAGCAAGCGTAATGGGTTCACGGACGTGTGACAACTTCCCGATTCTAGTGCGTCTGTGTGTGATGATGAAACACGGATTGCATAACAAATCTTGCTTTATAGCCCCCTCTATATCTGAGTTTGTATCCGATCAAATCGCCTGCAAGGCCTTGTAAGCCATTATCGTCATATCCCAGAAGCTGAGCATGGCCGGGATGGGGTAGTCCTTGAGTGGCGGGCCGCCACGCACGGCAAGCTGACTGTGCAGGCTACAGGGCTGCGTGGTGGGGGAAGTGCATTGTTGTTGTTGTTGTGCATTTGCCTGCTCTCTAGCCTCTCTCCTCCCAATCCTTCGCCGACCCACGCTGACCAAACGTGGTGAAGGGTGGTCAAATATAACGCCCTCCCAATGACCCGCAAATTGTGCGGGGAAGTCCCTCCACCCAGCAGTGAATGGACGCATGGGGCCTGTACCGTGTACACGATGAGCTGTGACTCCGCGGGAGCTTTTTGGGGGTTTTTTTCCGGTGATGAATTTTTGGAAGGCAAATGTGTGCCCTCGCCAGAGTTTGTCACCAAAATTGCCCGATAGCAATTAGTAGGAGGCCGGCGTTTCAGGCAAATGGAAATTATTCATAGCTGAGAGTTGAGCAATTGAATGATTGTAGTTGCATATTGCACATTTTACACTCTGGGGCCCTGATTTCCTGATAAAACTGGAGACTTTTAAGAGTTAACATGTGAACACTTTGAATTAACATGAACACATTGAGTGTAAAAAAAACCCTTATGAAATACATTTTTTTTTTCAAACAAAATTCAGCAAATTTGTGCATGTTGCTGTTATTAGAGTGGTGCAAACGTCACAGTATATTTAAATGTTTTTAAAAAGAATAGAACGTGACAACCCTTACTAGTTGGCTGTGTCGGGTGGTGGCGAATTTTAACGACACATTTATATATTTCCGTGATCTAACCCAAAAACCTCTGTTATGGAGAATAGAACTCCAAATAAATAATGTAGCTTTTTGCAACAAGCTGTAGATTTGCTACATTCGCTGTTCCATCCCTGTCCGTTGCATTGCCTTCCGCTGGAGTATTGAACACGAGAATTCCCCAACGGCTATAAATATTCAAACAAAACCAAAAATGCAGACGCTGCAAAAATACGCAACTACTTGCAATCGGAGATAAGGAAGAAAAAAAACTGAGGTGCAGAAGGAAATTAAATAACGCTTTAGTTGCAGAACTTGGAAGAGGTCGCGTGTGGCGTAGCTTTTATCCCAAGCCGTAAAGGCCCTTCCCAACACCATCTCTTCCTGTCGACTTCTCGTAATTAGCCGACCAGTCCGGCCTCTGAGAACTGTGAGGTTGGATTACTTCTAGGAATGGGTGGCTGACTCAACACCGCAGACCATATTACGTGCGAATGTTCCCACCGCCGCCACCACCACCACCGCGCCCCCGGCTCAGTGGTGCGGAACATTGCAAACAGGGGACAACCGTGAATGAACGTAGTTCGATCCCGACCCTGACAATGCCTGCTGTATATTTGGAGTTTGCGCGTCTTCTCTCTTTCTCCCCGTGGTGAGATGTTAACGACCTCGCCCGGTATACAGGAGGTCGAGGGTTCGATCCCGACCCGAACGATCCCGACCCTGACAATGCCTGCTGTATATTTGGAGTTTGCGCGTCTTCTCTCTTTCTCCCCGTGGTGAGATGTTAACGACCTCGCCTGGTGTACAGGAGGTCGAGGGTTCGATCCCCACCCTGACGATGCCTGCTGTATATTTGGAGTTTGCGCGTCGTCTCTCTTTCTCCCCGTGGTGAGATGTTAACGACCTCGCCTGGTATACAGGAGGTCGAGGGTTCGATCCCGACCTGAACGATCCTGACCCTGACGATGCCTGCGGTATATTTGGAGTTTACGTTTCTCTCTCCCTGTGGCCGTGTGTACTTTTCTACCGTGTCCTCCGGTTTTTCCCTCCACATTTAGAAACGTGGGTTTTAAGAGTATTTGGCTGCTGTAAATTTCCTTCACGATGAGCCACTTTGTAAAGCCATCATTTGTGGCCAGGTCGCTTCTGGTGCCGAGTCATTTAAAGTTGCTCCGCTCCCTTGCTTGCGTTGTTCCGCTGGTTTGTGTTGGCTTTCACGCTTGCGTACGAGCAGCCTTCCACCTGTCGGCATTGTTCCATTGAACGTGTTTTTGTGTACGTACGTATGTTGAACTTCTTTCGTACTGTTCATACCCAAGCGTGCTCATCGAAGGTGCGTGTTTGTTCGTCTGCTCAGTTATCGGAGATGTAATGGAGGGCAGGGGCGGCCCTGATTAAACAAAAACATTGACAAAGCATTTTTTTTAAATGAGGATATAGAAACGTATTGTTGACCCGTGTGTCGTTTGCCTACGTAGAATGGAGGGTGCAGGCATCGAAAGTGTTTTTTTATTGCTTCTCACAGTAATCGGTTTACTTTCCAACACACTTGCGGGTACGGAAGCACGAAGTCACTGACCCTCAACGAGTCAGAAGGAGCAATTCGTAATTAAACCGGCGCATGCACATTTATATTCTTGTTTTATTTTTATTTTTCAAGCACCGTTCATCCACATACCGAATAATCCTTCCACGGATTATAATCAATTATGGAGAGTTGACCGTATACACACACTGAATTGTAAACATTACGGATTGACGAATATAAAGTTATCGTGGATTCCCATCGTTGCAAACTTTAGCAATTCAATCTCATCAGGTGGAACGCTTCATTAGGTGTTTACCAAGGCAGGGGACCGAGGGGTTCAGAGGTCAGAGCAGTGAGCCCAGCATCACTAAGATCCTGGGTTTGAATCTGGGTTTCAGTTGCCCTGTTTAAATTGGGTTCTGAAGTGTTGTGAGTTGTTGATCTCAGCCTGGCCACCGATGACTGCACAAAAACAAACAACATTACATTTATATTCTTAGTTTGTTCGGTAAAGTCACGTGGAAGAGAAACAACAAAATAATAAAATATATAACACAATAAAAAAATTCTCACGACGTTTCGACCATAACTCAAACGGTCGTCTTCAGGTGTGTTTATGCGAACCAACACACCTGAAGACGACCGTTTGAGTTATGGTCGAAACGTCGTGAGAATTTTTAATTGTTTTATATATATTTCATTATTTTGTTGTTTCTCTTCAACGTGACTTTACCGAAAAAACTAAGAATATGAATTACTGCAGTCACGAAAGCTTTCAATCAAAATTTAACATTACATTTAGTTTTGCACTTAATTATGAATACACTTCCAGCTGTCAGAATTTAAAACATTAGTTTTCTGCAACAACAACAAAAAATAATTCTCTCTGTAGCAGGGTACGTGGCAAATAGCAGAGCCTCCCCCCCCTCCCCACTAGTTTGTACATTATCAGGACCCTTGATGGGATCACAGGTAGTTCTGCCATACCACCGTTCTCCAACACGGGGGTCATGCATTGCTCCCTGAGATTTCTGAATTGATTATTCAGCTCATGCCCCACGACACCATGAACCCACTGGAACTTGAAAGCCCCCATTTGTCAGGGAGGCGACTGCCTGGGTTAGAACCTCCCCCCCCGCCCACCACCATCTCAGCGGTGCCAGCTCAACCACTAATCTGTGAGCCGCCTGGCCATCTCCAGAGCATGTTCATGTTTTGACTATCTCTCTTATCAGGCCGCTGTTGTGGACCCACAACAAAAAAACAAGTTCCGTTGAGAGCTCTGCCAAAATAATCTGTTCCTGACATTTTACTTTTTTTGTTGCCAAGTCCGACAAAAACGAATATTTATAGATTCCACAGTAACGAGACACCAAAATGCGGGCTCAAATGTTTTGTCAACTTTCGGAGACCGGTTTGATTTTAAACTGTACTCGTTCTTGCCAGTCACATTTCTAACGTAGCAATCCTCTCTACTTTGTCATCCGCAGGTGGCAGATACGGAACGCCTGGGACATGCAATATTTTTTTTGTAAACAGCCGTCCGAAGAAGGGAGCACCGCATCGTCGGGACACGTTGGTTCTCAGGCACGAGAGGCTCCTGCAAAGCGATTGGACCAAGTGCCACAACTGTGTGATTTGTTTTTTAAATGCAATGTTTAAGAAGACCTTGCAAGCCATCTTGTCAACAGCACTGCCTGGACACCCGTGGCCGAGAATGCGCCCAAGACGTCGAGCGGACCGTATACGCCTCGCGCGTTCCCGCAGCACATTCCGCACAGCGCAAGTGCACGTTGAAGTCTGAGAACTGCAGACACGAATGGTCCAGAAGGCACCGATGTTTCGCCGTCATGATCAGTATTTTTTTTACCATCATAAATATCACCACGACCAATCCACTGCCGAATGAACGCCTCTCCAATCCGTCACCATCTCAATGTTCTGTGATGTAACAATCTGGTATCTTAACTGTATTTTAAAAGCACTCTTTGGGCGATTGGTCGCTTCTGTGGCACCCGGTGTGTGGAACTCTCTGTACAACTCCCTCCCCCCCCCCCACTGTCATTGATATATAACACGCCTTGAGATTCTATGAAAGGCGTTATGTGAGCCGGTAACTATTCTAAAATGTACCGACAACGAGGGGTTGGTTACGTTGTAGGCCGCGATGAAAAGTACAGCAAAATCCTCTGTTGTGACCCACTACTACTACGCTCCCACATTCATGCCCCTCTCCCGCCTTCACCAACCCGCACACTCGCCGTACGGTGAAATAACCCCCGGTCACGAGCTGCGCGGCATGGGGAAGGCCTCATCCAGCTGCGGATTCGCAAAAGTGCCGCGCGCGTACGCTCACGGCACTTGGCTTAGCCGAGCGCACGCCACGAAGGGACTACATGCTGCAGCGGGGCAAAACATTTCGGCAAGTGTACGGGCAGTTGTACGCACGTTATTGGGGCGCCATGGTGGCTTTAAGATGTTGACCCCCCCCCTCGCCTGGTATGCAAGGAGGTCGTGGGTCCGATCCCGACCCTGACGCCTGCCGTATATTTGGAGTTTGCGTGTTCTCCCCCTGGTTGCGTGGATTTTTCTCCGAAACATACGTAGACGGTTGCTATAAATTGTCCACGTGGTGAGCCACGTCGTTGAGCTATCGTTTTCGGTAGCCAGGTAGCCTCTGGAAAAGACCTATATAGCTCAAGTGGGCCTTACCTGGTAAAATAAAAATAGTAAAAAAAATTAGTATCAGCCGTTTGCCGTTTTCAGCCTTAAGAAATGGGGCCTATGTTGTGGGCTTTCTCGAGGCGACGGAGCTAGTACTTTTAGCACCCGCAGGTACACTCGCGAATTATATATTCGTTTTAATTTGGGGGTTCTGACCTCGCTAGAATGGCAGTAATTAACGTGTGAATGTTTAGGAGTCTTTTACTGTTACCGATCGACCAACGGGGTCATGTCGTCTCTGTCGCCAGTGATGTGCATTGTCGCGCCGTGCCAGCGGGCATATTTTACGGTGTAACTTAGTCTTGTGATGTCATACCATTGTTGTGAAGCACAGTTTCAAGGCTTGTATCGTCATACCTGCTTGTTAGACCACGGCAGCACTGAACTTCGAACGTTGACAACCCCAGCGATCTGATAATGCGATTCCGGCCGAGCGATTCGAGTCGAGGATTGATTCTCTTCCGTGTTGGGTTTTTTTTACCACCTCGGTCTTCTATGTACAATAGCATGTAATTTTTTTTGTTACCCACAGAATTTGCTCACGTCGTAAATACTCTATTCTTACGCGGTACAGTTGTGTATAATTGAAATGATGCACATGCCTAAGAGACACCGAGCGGTCAGCAGTAAGGAAAAACACCGTCGCCAGAACTTTCCCATCTCTCCCAACTCTCTCTCATTCGTCGTCCCGTTGACTCCCCGTCCCCTCTCTCCAAAACGTTTTGGTTTCCGCTGCCTCTGAAACGTAACGCAGCCCAGGGCTCCTCCTCGGTTCCTTTCCGCGCTTGCAGGTGCAGGCCGCATGGGAGAGGGATGCGTCCGGGTCGTAACCGAAGCGCCTGCGTCGTCGCTGAGACCTTTACAAGAACAACGACAACGAAAAACCATTCCGAACTCTGCAGGGAAAGCTACGTTTTGAGACGTTTTGTATCGAATTTTTTTTACTCGTGTAATTTAACTGAACGTTGCTGTACTTATTTTTCCCAGTACAGGATTTGCACTACATGCAAATCGCCACTTACGACACGGTGCGTACTGTTATTGTGTTTTAGCGTTACTATCAATAATAATAATAATAAGTGTTTATTTAAAGTAAAGTGAAACGATGGATTTCGAAACGAATCTTTCCGGGTTTCTGAACGCATCCGCGGCAGTCGACACGTGCTCACGCTTGCCTCAACAGCAGCAGCAGCAACCCAAATAAGGAAGTTGCTTTTCTTTACCACTGCACCACGTTTATGACCGGTCACGCTGCAACGGCTCTCCCGATGTGTTTTCCTGTTTGCGACGCGCGCTATTCGGCACCATGCCCGGGGACGAGGGTCTGATTTGCCCGCTGGGAGCTTCTCGGTTCAATTCTTCCCCGAAACGAAGAAGATCTTCCGTTGCGTGGCACGCAAGGCTTCGGACGCCGTGCCGGACGACAACGTGGCGCACGAGCAGCGCGTGGCCTAACCCCCTCGAAAACGCGTCGGGAGAGCGCAAGAGGGTGTTTTCGTTGGCCACTTTTGATGCCTCGCGCCATGGCTGAACAACAAGACCGTCACACCTGGTGCCACGTGCAAATGATGATAAAGAGTCCACCCGTGTATAGCCTGCACGGGATTTCGGGGCAAGTGCTGTTAGCGGGCACCTGTGAAGGCTGGCGCGGTGAACGAGCGGGTGGGTGGCCAGCACCGCGCCCGACCGCCTTTGTCTCGCCAGTGGTGATGTTTACATACCGCACCAGGTACTTATTTGAGGCGGAGTCGACCTGGGGCAGGCCCAGGACCGGTTCCGATAATCGTCACTGGTGTTGGCCGTGAGCGGAACTCGGGTTCGTAGCGCAGCGCGCTCACGGCTACATTACCGCTCCCCGCAACTCGTACACGAAGACTCTTCCCCCCATGGCCTTGAAAGACTGTTGGAGCAAAGTGCTGTTCTTGAGCACCTATGAAAGCCGGCACAGCAGATAAAGGGGGTGGGTGGGTGGCTAGCACCACGCACGGCTGCCTTTGCACGCAGGCACACGTGTTACAGCAAGAGTAACAGCTGATAAAACCAAAGCCACCTCGCCATGCAACTCAGCTGGATCTGGTGTAAAGGCACATTTATGAAAAAGCCACAACCTCTAAGACTGCCCTTGTAGCACAAAAAAATGTAAAGTATCGTGAAGTGGGTTTGAACCCTTGAGCTGACACTGCTGAAATGCTGGGGTTTGAACCCAGACAGCTGTCCAGGATTTAACCAAGTCCTCAAGTGTAGTGAATTGATGGTCTCAGTTTGGCTCACCAATGGCTGGGCAACGAAAAAGAACCGTGCATTTTGACATGGTGTTGTACTTAAATCTGGCTACATTCCAGCGCTTGGTAATTAAACGTATCGGCGGGGCTGTCGAGCGATAATCGTTATCAGGATATTTATACTGGAGGAATCCGATGAGCTATAAATATCTTTTTCGCAGATGTCCAGTGGGGGCGGCTCAGAAAGTAACAAAAACAAGCAAAATACAAACACGATAGGAGTGCCGAGTAGAGGAAAGGTAAGTCAGCAGTACAAAATAACTCTTTAATTTTACCAGGTGAAGCCCACCGAACTATTAGCTGATTGCTCAGAAGCGACCGGCCACAAATGATAGCTCAACAAAGTGGCTTATGTGGACATTTATAGCAGCCAAATACTCAAACTTTTATTACGTGGAGGGAAAACCCAAAGAACCTGGAGAAAAAATCACGCGACCACGGGAATAACTTGCAAACTCCAAATATACAGCAGGCGTCAGGGTTGGGATCGAGCCCACGACCTCCTGTATACCTGGCGAGGTAGTTAACATCTCGCAATGCACGTGGATAAATAAGCAACGTCCCGAAGCAGTCGTTGAAGAGCCGCAAGTTTGCCGACCCCAGCACTCGAAGAATATATTTATCCTGGAGAAATCCGATGAGCTATGAAGCTCTTCTCCCCGCCCCCCCAGAAGGTGGAGTATTGTGTGCGGTGTGCGTGACCGGCACAGTAGCCATCTGTTGCCATTGCATAACTTCCATTGGGTGGCCGGTGGGAGGGATGACATTTTTGGTTTTCCAGTAACGCGATCTGGGGATGGGGGTGGGGGTCAGATGCAGGCAAGCGCACCGCTGGTGTAAGAAGAAGTCTTGTAAGGGCACGGCCGCGATTGCTGAACGATGGCCCATAATCACGGCAGCCAAATGCATAGTAGGGGGGTTGTTGTTGTTGGGGGTTAGATCGCGTAAATATACATGCGTCTTGATTTGAAGCTTTCGTGACTGCAGGAATCCATAATCTTTTGTTCTTTCGGTAAAGTCACGTGGGTATAAAAATAAATGTGACCGTTAAACCCGCCGCCACCCGACACAGCCACTCAGTAAGGTTTGTCACGTAAACAAAACGTGTCAATTCGTTACTTGCACGGCACACCGGTGTGTGTTTGGAGAGTAAACACCCACGACATTTCCGATTCGAGTACGACGTTTCGTCGGTCAATACAAACCAGCGACGTCAAGGGACGGCTAGGTGATGCCGTTTCACCAGGGCCGTGTGTAGCTACCCCTGAAAGTGACCACCTCTCGCAGCCTGCCGTTGTCATGCTCGCATGTGAGGAACGGCTGCGGTCAGGGGTAACTTGGGGGTCTGACCCGGCCCCCCCTCCCCCCTACTTGGACATCTGAGAAAAACAAGAGCTTCAAAGCTCATCGGATTCCTCCAGTATTAAAACATGATTCTGATGCTCGAGTTTGATATTCACGGCGCTCTCCGTAGTGCGTGCGCGTGCTTTTTTTAAAATAACTCGTGCGCTCGATATATTTAGTTGGGTTGTTTATTCACGTTTTGGAATGATCGCAAAGAGAGTTGCGAATGGCGGCAATCAAAAACACACGAACAACACAACAAGGTTTTTCACTCGCGGTCAACTGGAGGGCGTCTAAGGATGAGCTCGTGACCTGCAGACGAATTACAATTTTGAGTTAATCTGATCCATTGCAGTCCTCCTCTGAGTACTTTGTCAGTTGTGTGCTAGAGATCCGGGTTCTTGGACTACGCATAAAATCGGTGTGCTGGAGAGGACCACACGTGACGTCGCGTGGTGTGTGACGTCACACGGGCGTAGTGATGCAACGTCAGCACACGTGACGAAGAAAACGTGCGAGGCTTGTTCTACAGGTCTCATTTTCTGCCTCTTACGCTTTGGTTCTTTCGGTAAAGTCACGTGTAGAAAGAAAAGAAAAATTAAATAATAGAGTACGACGTTTCGATTGCAACACAAGCAACCGTCATCAGGTGGAACTAAATTTGAGAGACAAAACACAGACACAGACACACAAGCAGAGAGAGACAACTCTCATCTCCCAAATGTGAATCTCTCGTCCACAGCTCTCATCTCTACCTCTCGCTCACCTCTGCCTCGGCTCTCTCCTAGCTCGCTCTTGTCTGTTTAAAACGTAGTTGGCCTTCGCGACCAATACCATCCATAATACAGGGGGTTGTTTTTGGGATAGATCGCGTAAATATATAAATGTGTCGTTAAACCCGCCACCACCCGACACAGCCAATCACTCAGATTGTAAATGTTGTGGCTTTGCTCTGTAACACACCGGTGTGCTGTACTAGTAACGAATTGGCGCGTTCTGCTTACGTTACAAACGCGATCTAACCCAAAAAACCCTGTATTATAGCTCTTGTCTCTCCCCCAACCCAGGGGTCCCCAACCCCCGGGCCGCGGACCAGTACCGGTCCGTCGCCTGTTAGGAACCGGGCCGCACAGCAGCAGGAGGTGAGAGCGGTGAGTCCGCACGTGGCCCGCCCCATTATTTTATTATTCACCACTTCCGACCGCGCCTCCTTCCCGCACTGCGCGCTTGTCTCAGTCACAGTGTTTTGGTATAAAGCCCACGAGCTCTAACCCCTAGTAGCCACAATGAGTAAGCCCACGAGCTCTAACCCCTAGTAGCCACAATGAGTAAGCCCACAAGCTCTAACCCCTAGTAGCCACAATGAGTAAGCCCACAAGCTCTAACCCCTAGTAGCCACAATGAGTAAGCCCACGAGCTCTAACCCCTAGTAGCCACAATGAGTAAGCCCACGAGCTCTACCCCCTAGTAGCCACAATAGGTAAAAAACAAACGTCGCTGGAGAGCTTCTTTGAAAAGGGGGAAAGACCCAATGATGAACTCCCCCCTCCCCGTGAAAAAATTGTCTTCCACGAAACCGGTCCCTGGTGCCATAAAGGTTGGGGACCGCTGCCCGAACCCGTATCTCTTAATGTCAAGGCGAGCCGTATATCTCAACGGACCATAGCTCCCAAGTGCCTTTTGCCGGTGACATCTGGCCCATTGTCCGCCTGTTGAGGTACCCCGATGATCGATATTGCTAACAGTTTTAAGAATATTTTCTTTTGCATTCACACGGCGCACCTCCGATTAGCACGGATGTCTGTGTACGGTGCGAAAGCCGTTCGACATTCATTAATCGAGATGATTTTGCTGCTGTAAATTTCCACGTGATAAGACACTTTGTTGAGCTATCATTTGTGGCCAGGTTGCTTCTGCAAAAATGAGTTCACACCTTCAGATGGGATTTACCTGGTAATATAGAAAAAAATAGTTTAGTTTTATTTGTATAGATTTTTAAAAGTGATTTGTTTACCTTTCCTATTCTTTGCACTCCCATCGTGCTTTTGCACTGTTTGTTGTAACGTTCTGACCCGCCCCGACTGAACATCTGTGTCAAAAGAGCTTTATAGCTCATCGGATCCCTCCAGTGTAAAAAAAACCCCAAACACGTTATGATTCTTGAGCGTACGACGCAAAGAGCCGCACATCCGTTCGCCACCGCAGCGGCGGATGTGTCCGCCGGGTCACGTAACGTTGACGACGCTTCCCCTTGTGAGTGTTCTTTTAATTCCATCGGCGCGGTTCCTAGAAGCGGGGATTGTTTTTTTTCCATCCGAACTCTCTCGTGATCGTAAATAAGAAGAGTGAGCATCATTCGTTGCCTTGTGCGTGCAACCGTGCTTCCCACGGAACCGTTGCACGTGGCGTTGCACGTGGTTTTTTGTGTTGTTGTTGTTGAGTCCGCGTTGTGTTTGAGAGTGCACCTAATCGGGAGCAGGGCTCATCGAAGGCAGGTCACGTGTTCGACGAGGCCACATTTTTAAAGATGCAGAAAATACTTCGCATTGCTGAAGGACGACGACAATCTCTGAAAACAAGAAATTTCGCGTTCACCGCAGTCTGGGTTTGATGATGGCTGTGTTTTAGAGCAGCAATATAGTGCCGTGAATATGACGATCATCGATGTGACGAATAATCCTTTCCTTCATTAAAACCCACGACGCGTAGCATAGAATTGCACGTGCAAATTATACGACGATAGGGTTAATGTTGATTCATACCACGAGTAGATTCTATGGGCACCACTTTGTCGACAAGACGAACCGATTCGTGAACACGAATTGTAACCTCGAATCGTGACGATCGATCACGCTGTGGCTCCGGCTGCCCAATAACATCTGGCAACGTAATTTTTTTGTTTGTTTAACAGGTCTGACTGCTGATGAGAATAAAAGGGTCGAAGCGGGACTCGGCGTTTGCCTGCCTAGGCAAGCGCTGTTGTGAAAGCCTTGCTCTCGAAAGAGCTCGTCGGCTGGATAATCCAAAAATGTCATATTTCGCCCCAATGTTGGAATTTTTCACATCAATCCGAAATCAACTTAATTGATCGTACATTCATGCGTGTAGTAACAAGGCTATCACAAAGGCGCCACATTTTACACGCACGGCCTTACTCTTTAAACTACCGTCACTTGATCTCATTTTTGTTTACGTACATGGGGCAGCAGCAGATGGCGCATTCGCGGTTAACACACCCACAGTATTAACCGGGGTGGCCGCTGGGTTCCACGAAACCGCGAAACTCTCCAAGGAGCGGCGATGGCGCCACCAGCTGGGCCGCATCGCCGCCCGCGATTATTTTGCTGCCGAAAATGTCCAAATGATAAGCCACGTTGTTGCGCTGTCATTTTTTTTAGCAATGTCGCTTTTGAAAAATGAATGAAATACCTCCGTGGGGTTTGCCTGGTGGGATGTGGATGGTTTCGTTGTTTTTGTTTGTGTTTGGGTGTTTTGTTCACCCTGCTTGTACTTTGTACTCCCATCGTGGTTTTGTGCTGTTTGTCGTTGTAACGTTCTTCTCACCCGCCGCGACTGGACGTCTGTGAAAAAGAGCTTTACAGCTCATCGGATTCCTCCAGGGCAAATAAATATTCCGATTCTGCAAATCGGCGAAAGGGTCCCTTGTTCTCGCGCGGTTTTTTCCGTCTCGGTGCGGCTGCTGCCGTGCCACTCGCGGCGAGGCCAGGCGGGCAGCCTTGTGCATCGACTCATGGGGGGCATGGGGGGGGGCGTGGGGGGGGATTGGGGGGGGGCCTTGGGGGGGGGGCGGTGCGTGCCGTTACGCCTGGAACAGCTGATTCTGTAAGTGCGCCGGGTGCCGGGTCTCAGGTGGCTCGGTACATTTTAGGATTCGTACTCGGCCACTCCCTGACCCCCCCTGACCCTCCCCGCCTCTCCCTCTTTTCAGCTCGGGAGGTCAAGGAAGTACACTCCAGAATAGTCCGGCACACTGTCCCGGGAAACGCAGCACACCTGTGCGATCGTCATTCCGCATCCATCATACAAACTTAGTCGGACCAACGGCCGTCTGAGCAAAGGCGGTCACCGCATCGCGCGGCGCTTTCGGATGCGCTTCTGCGGCCGTCTGGAACGCTCTTCCTTCCGATATTGGGAAGCGACTGGGAGCAATGCGCTTTTAAATCATCGTCTAGATTGAAAACTCATTTCTTTAGAACTGCTTTTGGTGTTTAGTTTCCTGTCCTTCCCCCGCACCTCCGATTAGCACGGTTGGCTACGTACGGTGCGAAATAAGTTCAACGCACGGCACGTGCGTACGATCCATTTGCGGGCGCAGGTCCGTGCACGGTCAGCATTTGGCGTTTCAGTCATCAGCTGTGCGCAGCTCCTCTCACAGACGAAACCGGAGCGGACGTGTGAGGCACCGTCTGCTCTTCGCCGGAGGAACACTTTCCGTTCTGGTACCTACGCGATTAAATATAAGCACGATGTTCCCGCTAATCCTGGAGTCATTCAGCGAGGGGTCTCGAATGGCGCGGAGCGATAAATTGTGGGGGCGGTCGCGGTCGCTCGACTCGCTCGACCTCGGCCGACACGCATCTCGTTTCGTTTGCAATCGCAAACTCCCCTCCCCCCCGCGATGAGAGTTTTTGCTGTTGTTACGCGTCATTGTGAATTCCTCCCACGCCCCTCCCCCCACGTGGAGAATTGTTGTTGTCACGCGTCATTGTGATTTCCTCCCGTGCGTGCTCAACACTCAAAAAAGAGAGGAATTCGGTTGCTGACCATCCCAAGCAAGGACCCTCCTTAAACATACACACACACAAAGAACTGGTCTGACACTAAAGCAGGACCCTTTTAATTGGGTGAAGGTAAAATTTTAAAGATTAAGATGCGGCCCTGCCATTGCTTTCTCGCAGAAATATATCCACCAGAAGACAGCGGGCCCTACTCTTCCACCTTTGCGCCAGACATCTTGGAACGGTGGGAGTACCCACACTTTACCCCAATGCGCGCGACCTGCATGGGAAATTAAGGAAGCCCTGCACAGTTGTTTCAACTTCCCTGCCGGGATCGCAATATTACATCGTGTGCTAATCGGTACACATTTCTTAGCAGTTTCCCTTGCATTCTACATTAAAAGCCTGGAACTCGCCTCCGATTGGCACGGTTGACTACGGAGGGTGCGAAAGAAGTTCAACAGACGTACATGCACACTGCCCATAGACTAACACTGCCCATAGACTAACACTGCCCATAGACTAACACTACCCATAGACTACCACTGCCCATAGACTAACACTGCCCATAGACTAACACTACCCATAGACTACCACTGCCCATAGACTAACACTGCCCATAGACTAACACTGCCCAGAGACTAACACTGCCCAGAGACTAATATTGCCCATAGACTAACACTGCCCAGAGACTAATATTGCCCATAGACTAACACTACCCATAGACTAACCATACCCATAGACTAACACTACCCATAGACTAACACTACCTATAGACTAACACTACCCATAGACTAACACTGCCCATAGACTAACACTGCCCATAGACTAACACTGCCCATAGACTAACGTTGACCATAGACTAACACTGCCCATAGACTAACACTACCCATAGACTAACACTACCCATAGACTAACACTGCCCATAGACTAACACTACCCATAGACTAACACTACCCATAGACTAACACTGCCCATAGACTAACACTGCCCATAGACTAACACTGCCCATAGACTAACACTGCCCATAGACTTAACACTGCCCATAGACCCGACACTGCCCATAGACTAAACATTGCCCATAGACTACCACTACCCATAGACTCAACACTACCCATAGAATAACACTGCCCGTAGACTCAACACTGCACCTCCGATTAGCACGGTTGACTGCGTACGGTGTGAAAGAAGTTCTACATAATACGTATTTTTTTATTGTACAACATTCTAAAATAGTCCGTTTAACACATAGGCTTTCACGACCAATATTTACGCGATCTAACCCCCAAAAAACTTCTGTATTATGTATTCTAAAGGAGTGTTTGAATTCATCATTAGACCTCCTTTGCCAGTACCAAAATATAATAATAGGGTTTTTACCCTTTTTTCTGGCAACAAAACTGAAACCCTTTTTTACAAGGATTCATGTCTGCATTTTGACTGCAGGTATTGTGGTTAATGCAGACATGGATCCTCGTAAAAAAAGGTTTCAGTTTTGTTGCCAGAAAAAAGGGGAAAAACCCCTATTATTATATTTTGGTACTGGCAAAGGAGGTCTAATGATGTAGATGCTCACCCCGAGCCCTCATTACTTTGATAGTGTCATTGTCTTTGAGCTGTACGCCTTTTGGCGTCCTCTGGTCGAGCACCAATTGGGTCGAGGCTCAAAAGAAAGCCGTCCCTTGGTGTGGACCAATCAGTTTCAAGGACAATGCATATATTATCATAGTATGTTTTTGGTTACATTTTGACTGCAAGTATTGTGGTTAATGCAGACATGAATCATTGTAAAAAAAGGTTTCAGTTTTGTTGCCAGAAAAAAGGGGAAAAACCCTATTATTATATTAGTGTTTGAATTGTCGTAACTTGTCGCTTTGAAAAAAAAAAACCTCTTCACGTCGACCGACTGCGAAGCTGATTTCCACCATCTGTCCTCGAACTGCGGAGAGGCGCACGCTCGCAATTACACCGAGCGATATGAACACGAACACGTCGATTTGAGAACACGCTACGCGAATCGTATTGACTCAAGTAAAAGTGCCTCCGTGCAGGACATGTCCGGGACACGTCGCTCGACGCGTTGCTGGAAGGGGACGATGGCGAAGGGACATGACCACCGGAGGAGTGGCAGCCAAAGGAAGGGAGCACGCCCGAGAGGGCATCCACCTCGGAGACAGAGCGATGAAATCAGCCCGTGCGCAGGAGCCCGACGAATCGTTGTAACGCTGGACCGTGAAAGGTGCACGTACGTGTGTTAAACTTCTTTCACACCGCACGTAGCCAACCGTGCTCATCGGAGGTGCGGGGGAAGGACAACACACTGAACACAAAAAGCAGCTCTAAATAAATGAGTTTTTAGACATACGACAGCCTTCATCATCGAGCGGTGGATCTACAACGGCTAACGACGCCGATGATGGGACAACATTTCTCGTGGCCTGGCGAAAACCGCGCTACTTCAAGTTCCCGGCGAACACCAGACGTGCGGGGCACACGCCCCCCGACACGACGCTGCCTCTCCGTGACCCATGACCTTCACCGCATTCCTCTGCGCGGCCGAGGGCCGACGCGGGACGAGGCGACCGCGGCGACCGCGGCGATGCTGACCGGCGGTGGCGGCGTCGGAGGCGGCGGGGGCCGAGGGGGCCGCCTTTCTCGCTCGTCACCGTCAAATCCTCCAGCTGCCGCAGCTGGAGCAGCCGCCAGAGGAACGGCGTCCCTCCCAGAGTCCCGTGGATCGCTGCCCGGCGCTCGTCCCTTTTGCCGTCGCCGGAGTCCGGCGTGTCGCGGTCGCCGAGGTCGCCGCCAGCAATCTTGTCGGCGGCCGCGGCGACGTCTCGCAGGCTGCAGGCGCCCGCCGGTGCCGGGAGGACGTCTGGGTAAGGGAAGATCTCCGTCTCCTCGTCGCCTTGCTGCGCCTGCGAGCGAGCGAGCGAGCGAGCAACTTTAGTCGGTTTAAACTGACAATTGCGCCGGTGAGAGGGCGTCAACAACGTGTTGTTCTGCCGGTGGAGAACTTGACACCGACACGAACACCCGTCGCGCACGAGCACGGGTCCTTATGGCGAGACCTCTCGAATCTCCTCCTCCTTTGTCTCCCTCTCTCTTATATAGCCTCCCTCTTTTCCGCCACTGGGGTTTCCCCCCAATTCCCTACCCCCTATGCCCATTTTTCCACCTTTCTTGCCAGCAGCCCTCCGCCTTATTTCTGTGGGCGTGATCCCTTGTGCTCTATGTGACCCCCATGGCCAACCCGAATGTGCCACCATGAACTCTACATAATCGGTGTTTTTTTTACTATTCTTAAATTCGAGTATAATTCGAAGCGTGTATCGAGAGCGCAAGAATGGATTCATTATTGCGTGCCTAGAGGCTGCGCTGCTGGAAGCAATGATTAGGAGCAAGATGTTAACTACCTCTCCTGGTATACAGGAGGTCGTGGATACGATCCCCGCCCTGACGCCTGTACATATGGAGTTTGCACGTTCTCCCCGTGGTCATGTGGATTTTTCTCCGGGTCCTTCAGTTTTTCCCTCCACACTTAGAATCAACATCACGCGTTCAGAGCATTTGGCTGCTAAACATTTCCACATGATGAGTCGGGTTGGCTACGTATGGTACATACATAAACCACTTCGTTGACCTATCATTGGTGATAGCCAGGTCGCTTCTTTAAAAAGAGCTATATTACTCAGCGGGCCTTATCTGGTAAAAAAAAGACTTTAGTTTGTGATACCTCGATCAGGCGCTCGTCCTTAAGCTCCTGGCCATCTTGATCGCCCGGTGGCCCACCAACATCTCCTCCACCTTGGCCCTCACCGGGTCCACCAGCGGCATCGTTGACGCACCCTAGCAGAGACAATCCGCAAACTTCCAGCCGGCTCACGCGGTCCTCCTCTCTGAGCCCTGCGGGACGCCGGGCCGACGCCGCGTGAGCTTCGCCCTCCGTCGCTCGACCCCGCGACCTTCCTCCCCTCTCCCTCCAGACGCCGCTGGGAGGCGAGAACAACCGCTCGGCCAGGACGCAGCCGCCACCGCCACCACCGCCACCACCGCCACCACCGTCACCACCGCCAACGCCACCACCGCACCTTCCCCGCCATCGCTCGGCCGTCGCGCCGTCCGGAGAAAAATATATCCGCGGCGTTGCCAGGTGCATCTCGGTGGCGCGGCACTTTTTGTTGGCGTGGTTTGGCCTTTGGTTCTCCTTCCAGGGCGTTGTGGGCGACTCGACGGTCGGGAGGGCCCGGACCGCTGCGTGAGCGTGGGGTCTTCGGCCGCGACGGAGGTCGCCGGTGGGCGACGACGTTTCCCTCGGCCATGGAGCCGGTGACCTCCTGCGCAACGAGAGGACAAGATTTCAGACTCTTGTTGCCGTGCCAACGCGTACGTCGTCAGCCTAGCTGCCACGTAGGTGATTCAGAAGCATCTCAGCAGGCGGTGTAGAGACGGGATATCCGGTTATTTAAGCAACCGATTACTAGACTGGTTATCGGTTCGATTACTCGACTAAATGGATAAAATATATTCTTGGGTCTTTCGGTAAAATCACGTAGATAGGATCAAAGAAAATAACAAAAAATATCGCGTAGCTCGTCTGCCTAGCTGCTTATTTGTTGTTATTTTCTTTGAACCTATCTACGTGACTTTACCGAAAGACCCAAGAATATGAATTCCTGCAGTCACGAAAGCTTTAAGTCAAGATTTTAGGGATAAAAGATAGTGAAAGGAAGTCTTTCCTCTATTGCCTTGTGTGACAATGGACAGTCTAGCACGGTTGGCCACATGCGGTGCGAAAAAAGTTCAACATACATACGTCATCAGTGGCGTCGTGCCAAGCGTAGCTTGTGGGAGCGGCTGCCATTTTTAAATACCCAAGTAATCGACCACAAAAAGAGCAGCCGATTATATATATTAGCTTTAATCGACTAATTGTCCCAGATTGTTTTCAAGGCTATCAGGATTTTTCCTTTTTTTACATACATACTTAATAATCTTCTTCCACAATATTATTCAAATTTTGCAATCGACTGTCCATGTGGCACTCTCACAGGTCTGCGGAAGGAGATATCAAATAACTACTTCTGACACCACTTTTGTTCGTGACCGCTTTATCAAGACCAGAGGGTGCTGCACTTTCCTACATGCCCTCCTCTCGAGATTTTGTCAAATGGCGGTCAGACCAAAACATTTACTTTTGCATTTTTTGCCAAAAAAGGTGATAATCCAAATTGAATGTTTTTTTTGTGCAGTAATCAGTGACCAAGATGAGATCAACTCGCTATGCTTGTGAACCCAGTTTACATGTGGGCAGATGAATGCTGGATTCAAACCCAGGATCTCGGAAATGCTGGTCCTGGACCTTCCTTGCTGTCCGTTTATTTATTTTAATGAGGTCCATCTGGCTATTGTCTGTCCCGGTTAATATTCACACCAAAAACCGTGGTAACTTTGACAAATGTTTTTTGACATTTTGGGCGCGCAGAAGCAGCTGTGTCGGCGTGTGTTTATTTGAGTGGACGTTATGTCATTGCTTTCACAAGTTTTGGCAAACAAATGTGGAAAAAAAAACTGTAACATTAAAGCTTATCTCCAGTCTGTCAGCACCAAGACCCAAAGGCTAACTAATTAAACATATAACAATGCATCTATTTGCCAATAAAAAATGATTGTTATACTCACGATGCATCACTGTGTGGGGATGTTTCGATTTGTATAGAGGGCACACAAACTCTACAGACGCAATAGATGCCACGTGAGCCACAACGAAAAAAATCATTCTTAAATGGCATCGGGACACCGAAAAATGTTAATTTAATCGAATCGCGATAGAGGTGGCAGCGGTGATGGAGGGTGATGGATCGTTACCACCAGGGCTCAATAATTTCTCACTGAATTATTTCTTTCCAGGTCACTCGGAGACTAGGAGTGGGTGGTACGTGACGAGTAGTGGCCACAGTCAGAGCGATGTGTATGTTCGATGTGGTGTGCCGGAAAAGTGACTCATCTTTGCAGACCCAAACGGACCAAGCTGAAATTCATCCCTGGCTGCATGCCTATGAACTAGCCCAATGTCTGATATAACTAGGGGCACACAACATCATCCAGTATTCCTTGGCCTTCAGCAGATCGGGGCCATCGGTGACATTTTGAAATGAGTGACTTGAGAAAAGAAGTAATAAATAAATCTCAGCGGTGGTGGGTGGGTGGGTGGGCGGAGAGTGGTCAAGATGATGGCAGGAGGTCGGGGCGGTGGGTGGGTGGTCAGCAGCGGCTGAGTGAGTACCGCGCGCCCGTACCCGTGGACCCCCCTGTGCTCCGTCGCCGTGGCAACAGAGAGCGCGGTGCCGGTGCAGCGCAGAAGCGGCGAGGCGTGGCCGCCCCACGCGGACGCCGGCGACTGCGCGACGTGCCGGCACGGGCTGCCCCACGCGGGCGCACGGGGGCTCTCGGCTCCTCCGCGCCGACGACGCACGGCCGACGCGTCCTCCGCACCGTCGCCGCAGCCTCCCGTCTGGCCCGTGGTGTCCGGCAGCACGAAACGCTGGTTAGCGTCATCGTCGTCGTGCAAAACGTACAGAGAGAGAGAGAGCACTCTTTGTCGCGGATTCCTTGGGGGGCCGTCCATAAATGACGTCACGCGATTTTGGACGATTTTTGACCCCTCCCCCTCTTGTCACACGGCGTCACAAAAAGTCAGACCCCCCTCAAATATGACGTCACAAAGCTCTGCCCCCCCCCGCCCAAAAAAAAATATTTCCATTTTGAAAATAAAATATGCTTCAATTCGCTTTGAACTATTGTCATTGTAGCGCGTATTTAATGTGGCGCTGCACTCTGATGATGTAGGAGAAAACATTTATTAAAAAGTATATTTAATTAAGTAGAACGTGTTGCCTATATTTATTTAAAGTTGCGCATTTTGATGTGACGTCACATTCCTAAACCCCCCCCCTCCTCGTCACACATCGTCACAAATGTCTGACCCCCCCTAGGTGCGTGACGTCATTTATGGACGGCCCCTTGCCAGTTTCAGTTTATTTTCAGTTTATTTAATTTTTGGTATAGCCCTGTGAGCCATTCGGCTCTTGAATCGGGTGCAACCACAACAAACAAAAACCAAAAACACGAACAAGAAAAACATCTTAAAGTGACTACGTGTGACTGGTGCAAAATAGAAAATCCATGGGAAAAAAATCAGCAAAAATATTCCTGAAACAAAGCACCGTGTACACCAACGCTGTGTGCAAAAAAAATATCCCAGAGAAAAAAAAAGTGTCCGCGCGCTCACCTCCTCTCCTCTCCTCCCTGTCTCGCTCGTGGTCTTTATTGGCGTGGGTTTCATGCCGTTTTAAAGGCGCGGACCTGCAAGCGCTGGCTCACGCGACCGCTGGCGGGAAGGGGCCTTCGCAATCTGTATTTTGTGGGCCTACTCTTGGGCCTCCTCTTTGACACGAGCCAGACATCTCTGAAGAGGCGGGGGCAACTCAAATTCTCACCCGACCACACGCAGCCTGCCCGATTCACCCCGTTAATGCTTTTGGCTGGACGGATGCGGGAGATTTACTAAATTAACTGCTGTGCTGTGGAATCGAACTGGTGAGACCTCTAGATTGCAAGTCGACTGTGCTAACCATTACACCACGGTGGCATTGTTATCATTAGTAGCAATAATGGGAGATAAGACTACTCTGGGTCATGAGATATCCACCTCAATACTCGTGATCACAAATACCACGCACGTGACTGTATTGGTATGCCACGTATGCTTTTAGTTACCTGGCCAATGAAATGTCTCGCACCTGCCACTCACCTCAACCTCGCATCTCATTCAGCTGCAGTCCACTCTGTGCGACACCAAATAGGACTCGGATCCTTCGACAATTAGTCTCATGACTCAATAACTTAATCCAAGTGGATTTTGTTGTAACCAGGTGAGAACTCGGGAGCGCAGGATAAAGAGTCTCATCCGCAAGAGCGATCCGGCTCATTGAAATTCCAAAAGCAGAAGGCGAAGCACAAAACAAACAGAAATTGGAACAAAAAAAAAACACATTTCCCACAACTCTGATAAAACCAAATTATCTAACTTGTTCATCATGTCTTGATTGGAAGCTATCGCGACTGCAGGAATCCATAGGTATAAAACTAAATGTTATACCTACGTGACTTTACCGAAAGGACCAACGAGTCCATCATGGTATGTTGTCACGTAACGCCAACAAAAAATAACGTTTGCTTTTGCCCTCCCCCCAAGGGTCTGGCACCACCTCTGGATACATTGGCCAAGTCACGTGTACTCCTCTTGGCAATTTGTTCACGCGCACCTGAAACTCGTGTCCCTCGTGCCCTGCAAGCCCCCCCACCCCAGCCCGAGCACCCAAAAGCTGTAAATTGCGGCGGCCCAAAATTTGTCGCATTTCCGATTCCATACACGATTTACGCCAAGGGGAATGCGTAAAGTTCCCGCGAGAGAAATTAGGGGGCCGGGAAGGGATCGGCCTTAAAGTCCTCCACCATTACTCACGTCCACACGCACCCCTGCTTGTTCTCACACAAACACGGACGACACCTACGAAGGCCGGAACAGCACACGAGGGGGTGGGTGGCCAGCACCACACCTGGCCGCCTGTCTCCCCCAGTGACGATGTTTACACACTGCACCAGGTACTCATTTGAGGCTGAGTCGACCTAGGGGAGGCCCAGCACCGGTTCAGATAATCGCCACTGGTGAGCGGGAATCGAACTCGGGTTGCCGGGTTCGTAGCGCAGCGCTCTAGCCGCTACACTACCCCTCCCTTACCGCACACCCACACAGGCGTGCACTGTAGGACCTCTTACCTTGAGACTGCAGATCTGGAACGAATCTCCAGAACCTTCAGTCAACAAAAGCGCGACGCCAGGGAGCGTCCGTCCCTTCGCCGCCGCTTTCCCCTCACTCGTGTTGCCGTCCTGTCTCTTTCTTCTCCTCCTCCTCCCCTGTCGTTTTGGCCGCGGACTCCCAGACAAAAACCCACACTCTGCCCCAAGAGGAGCCGGTGGCCATGGTGTGCCAGACACCCCAAATTTGACGTCACTTTCGTTCCGACAACCTGGCCCAGAGCTCATTTCTCAGGCAGCGACCTAAACCTAACCAACTGGTGGCCAAGGTGCCGGCCGCATTTGATTTTGTACCTTCACGCTGTAGCGGGAGGGCTAACTTATTTTGTAATCATTAAGGGACAGGCAACATTTTTTTTTAGATCATCCTCGGCTTTGGTTGACCGCGGCGGGTTAATAATTACTCGGTTAACGCTGTTGCATTGCAACGGACGTTTGTGGCGAGTCGAGTGGCTGTGAAATGACGACACTGAAACGGTGCGCGCGCGGAGAGGCAGTGAAGCGTGCGTTCTAGAAATTAGTTTGGTGGCCGGCCATATGGCTCACTAGCAGCAAGGGGGGGAGGAAGCGCATTGGACACAGTTATCCTCACGATCCGTCATGATCAATCCACTGCCAGATAAATACCTCCCAAAGCCATCGCCACCTCTTATGTTTCTGCCATGTAACAATCCATCTCGCAACTTGAACACAAGACGAGATAATTGCTTCGTCTTGCAAGTGGATGCCATCTTGGGCCTGTTCCCTTCTTTGGCTGCCACTCTTGATGTTCGTCTTGGCCACCAGCCATAACCTCTTCGTAATCAATTTCATACCTCTATTATATGCTCTCATCCATGTACTACAAGTCAGACCCATCTATATCCCAGTACAATACAAGCGAACTCGAAAAAGTTATGGACACGACACGCGGCGGTCCACAAAAACGCATGCGACTACGATTGCATAAAAAGCTTAAAGAGCTCGCACTCCAAGTCTCGTACAATTACGCTTTATTGTTACATACAAAACATTCTGCGCAATGGCAGATTTTACATTCCTCACTCAGTCCGTGCGGCCTCCGGAGGGCGCGTGTGCCACGGGCGGTGGCTGCTGCCCAGCTGGAGATGTCATCGTCCACGGGGCCGGCTTCGCCGTCAGGACGGGCATCTATCGTTGGTGCCGACGGCGCGGAGCAGCCAGTAGTTTCCGTTGGCGAAGGCGAGCAGGGTCTGCAGGTTCTCTCCGCCCTTGTGGAATCCGTGCTCCAAGCTTGCCCATGACACGGGCGAGTCGGCGAAGCCGTGCGCTGTCAACGTCGCCCAGCACGCCAGCTTTGGCTCCTCAAAGTAACGCCTGCCGGGAGGCGGGGGGGGTGTCATCATACAATCAAAAGAGCGGTCATAGTGTGTAGGAGCGCCAATATGTAACCACGTGATAAGCCACTTATAATTGGGCTATCGTTTGTGGCCAGGTCGCGTCTGAAAAAGAGTTATATAGCTCAGTGGCCCTTTTAATGGTAAGTTTATTTGAACAGTGAGAGACAGAATAACAACAAAATCCAGAAAAACGCATGTCAAAAATGTTATCAATTGATTTGCATTTTAATGAGGGAAATAAGTATTTGACCCCTCTGCAAAACATGACTTGGTACTTGGTGGCAAAACCCTTGTTGGCAATCACAGAGGTCAGACGTTTCTTGTAGTTGGCCACCAGGTTTGCACACATCTCAGGAGGGATTTTGTCCCACTCATCTTTGCAGATCTTCTCCAAGTCATTAAGGTTTCGAGGCTGACGTTTGGCAACTCGAACCTTCAGCTCCCTCCACAGATTTTCTATGGGATTAAGGTCTGGAGACTGGCTAGGCCACTCCAGGACCTTAATGTGCTTCTTCTTGAGCCACTCCTTTGTTGCCTTGGCCGTATGTTTTGGGTCATTATCATTGGGGAATACCCATCCACGACCCATTTTCAATGCCCTGGCTGAAGGAAGGAGGTTCTCACCCAAGATTTGGCAGTACATGGCCCCGTCCATCGTCCCTTTGATGCAGTGAAGTTGTCCTGTCCCCTTAGCAGAAAAACACCCCCAAAGCATAATGTTTCCACCTCCATGTTTGACGGTGGGGATGGTGTTCTTGGGGTCATAGGCAGCATTCCTCCTCCTCCAAACACGGCGAGTTGAGTTGATGCCAAAGAGCTCCATTTTGGTTTCATCTGACCACAACACTTTCACCCAGTTGTCCTCTGAATCATTCAGATGTTCATTGGCAAACTTCAGACGGGTATGTATATGTGCTTTCTTGAGCAGGGGGACCTTGCGGGTGCTGCAGGATTTCAGTCCTTCACGGTGTAGTGTATTACCAATTGTTTTTTGGTGACTATGGTCCCAGCTGCCTTGAGATCATTGACAAGATCCTCCCGTGTAGTTCTGGGCTGATTCCTCACCGTTCTCATGCTCATTGCAACTCCACGAGGTGAGATCTTGCAAAAAGCCCCAGGCCGAGGGAGATTGACAGTTCTTTTGTGTCTTCCATTTGCGAATAATCGCACTAACTGTTGTCACCTTCTCACCAAGCTGCTTAGCAATGGTCTTGTAGGCCATTCCAGCCTTGTGTAGGTCTACAATCTTGTCCCTGATATCCTTGGAGAGCTCTTTGGTCTTGGCCATGGTGGAGAGTTTGTAATCTGATTGATTGATTTCTTCTGTGGACAGGTGTCTTTTATACAGGTAACAAGATGAGATTAGGAGCACTCCCTTTAATAGTGTGCTCCTAATCTCACGTCGTTACCTGTATACAAGACACCTGGGAGCCAGAAATCTTTCTGATTGAGAGGGGGTCAAATACTTATTTCCCTCATTAAAATGCAACTCAATTTATAACATTTTTGACACGGGTTTTTCTGGATTTTTTTGTTGTCATTCTGTCTCTCACTGTTCAAATAAACCTACCATTAAAATTATAGACTGATCATTTTTAGGAGCCGTTCTGAGAAGTGCTTTTATACATAATTGGTGTTATGAGAAGTGCCGGTATATCATATGGCCACAGAAAATATATACTGATTTAATAAGCAGCTCAATTCAGTTCAGATATCACTCACCAATGATGTCAGCCGAGGCTGGGAACGGAACTCGGGGTGCTAGGTTCAGAGCACAGTTCACTAACATTGCTATGCCTCCACCCTGAATATGATGTAGTCATAAATCCGTGAAGATGTAATATTATATTTGAACATTTCGTGTTTAAAATTACTCACCATGCAAGCATACAAATTAATAAACAATAAAAAATGTATGTTGATGCATTATTTACCTCTTACCGTTTGCAGTCTTGCCACTGAAACTAATTTACAGGCTTTTTTTTATAAATTGTGTAGCTCTCACTCGCTGGAAGCACAAATTCCTCCACTCCTCTGCCCTTTTTTGACCTCTGTTCTGTTCCCCAATGACCCCGATGGGGTTTACCGTTAGCGTCACACCCGCGGC